CCCTAAAATTCTGTGATTCTATGATACTGTACCTTCCCCCACCACACACACTGGACAGTTAAGTTTCTGCCTCAGAAATGCCCAAGGTGAAGGAGAGGGACATACTGCACTGTGCATGAACGTTGCCAGCTGTCACCACAGTGTAGCTCTAGTCTTGGCATTTTAGATGCTCTGAGAGCCTTTGAGGATGGTGTATTTGAACATCTGCAATGCAGTAACATTGTTTTCAGTCTCATCGTTCCTATAAGTGACTGAACTCTCCTGGATTTGTCCCTTTATGTGTTTCCCACAGGGTTACTGTCTTAATGCAAGCAACCAGGTTATCTGGGTTTATTTTTTTTGTCAGAACATCAAATCATAGATCTTAGCTGCTGGAACATCTAGTTTTGTGTAAAAGAACATGAGCAGGAGTCTGCCAGCTTCAACTGGGAAGCAGTGAGCATGTGTTCAGAGAAGTATTGGATTGTTTGGTTCATTTAGGAGATACTGATCAAATGATTGTGGAAAAGGGTTAATTAATCTAAAGTGACTAAAGAAGGCAAGGCTTGACAACACTTGAATCTCTTACGAACAGGAATGATGGCACCGAGTTTGGTGGGTCTATTTATCAGAAGGTTAATGATAAGACTGAGACATCAGTCAATCTTGCATGGACTGCTGGCAGTAACAACACACGTTTCGGTATTGCTGCAAAGTACCAACTGGATGAGAAGACTTCTGTTGTGGTAAGAATTTTGTTAGAGAAATTAGTAATTTCAAGTTCCTTTAAATACTGAAAACTGATGTTACTAAGTAGTTGCTTTAATTAGTTACTGAGAAAATACGTTAGGTGGCAAACCGTGGTTCAGATTTCAGTCGGGACCTCACAGGTCACACTTAGGAAATGATGAAAAAAATCAGCCTAAAGCATAATTTTGTGAACTAGCCCTGCAAAATGTGTTTCAAAAGGCAATGAAATGATGCAGTGTCCTTTTAATTCTCTAATCCCATAATGTAAACCTATATTACAGTTACAACAGTGGAGGTTCAGCTGAGCTTAGAGCAGTCTAACAATCAGTTAACCCTTGAAAGTCAGCTGATGTATGTGTATGTTCAAACCCTAAGAGCTGAAGTAGCAAGCATTTGCTGTGTTTCAAAACAAAAATTAGTTCCAGGACAATTCAGCCAAAATTAAAGATGAGAAACATTCTTGTCATGCAAAAAGGGGTTTGCATATTCATGTATTTATTGCTCATTAGAAGAAAAATAAAAAAATCACTCCTGAGTGATGTGAACAAAACATTTGTTGGCTCTGAGGGACTGTACTAAGTAGCTCTTTAAGGGATACAAAGACAATGCTGGGGACAGTGAAGAACAGGGTGGCACTTTGTGTGGGCATAAGCGTCACCATGGGGGGGGGGAAGATTGCTTAAGCTGGAAATTGAGGAGAAAAGACTGGAGCATGTTTGAGGTTAGGCTGCAACTAGCTGAGGAGAGTTAATGCATAAGCCACGTTCTCAGGGCACTGGGACAATTCTGTCTGAATATTTATACACAGTGTATAAATACTGTGGTTTCTTTTTTTCTGTAGGCTAAAGTGAACAATGCCAGCCTCATTGGAGTTGGTTACACTCACGCCCTCCGACCCGGTACGTAAGCCTCGCTGGTTGCAGCAAGTAGCATTAAGTACTACCCTCTGGATTACTTTACAGTCGTCCTTTGAACAGAACAGATGAACAATTAGCTAGAAGTCTTACACAGGCTTAGAGAAGTAAAGGATGCATATATACAGAAGTTTCTACAGCAACTAAGACACATTAGTGAGGTGAAGTACATGAGGGAGGGCAATGTACCAGGGATCCCAGTGAATGATGGGTTTCATGACTTGATTTTCTAGGTATAAAGCTGACCCTCTCAGGCTTGATTGATGGCAAGAATTTCAGTGCTGGAGGTCACAAAATTGGGCTGGGATTTGAGCTGGAAGCTTAACTCAGCTTAAAAGAAAACTGGTGATGCTCTGGAAGATGAAGGAAAACTGTACCCAGTGTGTTTTGGCCTTAATTTTACTCTGAAATTTGAAGAAGTGTGAACTTTCTACTCTTCCAAAGAATGATTTTAATCCAATGCTGAAGTCCAGAGAGTGCCAGCACATCAGAGGGAGACAGCTGAAGGTATGCATGGAAGTTACGATGTTTGTGCCACATTTCACTTCAGTTTCCTGTATTTTAAATCTGTTCCTAAAAAAACCAGAAGAAAATCCAGCTTCTCCCGGTTATTGTACTGCGTTTTGCATGTCCTACATGTCACAGCCTTTTAAAAAAGGTCGTCTGTCCTGTAGTGGAAAATTTGGGTTTACATCAGAATGAAATAAATTGGCCACGGTTAGAACCTAAGGTTGGTGTGTCTTAGCTTTTCTGAACCTTATTGAGAGACATGTTCCAGCTAGCTGTTCTTTTTTCCTTTTGGTGCCACTTTAAGCATGGTTCATACATAATCTGCAAATGCTTTGTTAAGCTGTACCTGTACACTAAAGCTTTCCTGCTCTGTAGTTTCTAGGATAAAATCCTTACACCTCTTGTGTTTTAGACACAGTGAAAGCAGCTTTTTCATTCAAATGTTAGAGGGTATCAAAAAGAACAAACCAAAAGGCTACACATGTTTTAGATAATTTCATTCCTGTATAGGAAACAAGTATTAGGTAAGTACAGCCATTACCTTTAAAGAAAAAAATGTGCAAATCAGTGAAGTTAAGAAAGTAAGTTCACAGTTCAAGTATATTAGGAAGGTGACATCTACCAGTGACTGGGCACATGTTGCCATTGTTCACCAGAAAAAGCCTAAAAGGCAGCAAAACATCCACAGGTGAGGCCTTAAGGGAAGCTATATCAGGACAGAGATGAAGAGTATCTGCTGTCTTAAGGCACAATTAAGAATGTTTTCCAAGCAGTTAGAACAGGCATTTCCTACTGTATCTCTGAAAAATGTGTCTGAGAGGTGGATACTGAAAAGCTACGCCACGTGTATCACACAAGCAGTAGGCGACGGTAGGAAGAGGCAGTTGATCTTCCCTCCTTGGGGGCAGCAGCTTTTCACAGCTGGCTTCCCAAAGTAGCATGTCTTCAGAGGTGACCAAACTGATTTTACATCTGGGTTTGTTCTGGACTGTTTGCTTCTTCTACCTGAAGTTGCAGCCAGCTCCAGTCTAGAGCCTAAAGAATAAACAGAACTTACAGAGTTCAAGACCAGCTTACAGCTGAGCTTTCTCCAGAACAGACCTAAAAAACTTTCCATGAACAAGCTGGTCAATATAATTTCATGATGAACCATCTGACTGCTGTAAAGGAAACCCTTAAGTTACTTACATTCTCTAATATTTTGCACTTTGTAATATTCATTAAATAAGCATCTCTGCCCACCCCTATAAGTGCCACCAGACCATCTCACATTTAAGAGTGCAGTTTTGAAGCCATGAGCTTCCCCAGTCCATTTACAGCAGAATGAATATATTACCATGAAGCTCTGTTCCTGATCCTTCATTGTGTCATGCATCACGTTTTCTAGCTGGCTACAAAGTTTCTGTGTTTCCAGCAGTAAGTCCTCACTGAAAGGGACAATTATTGCACCATTATTTTCTATGCCAGTTTAAGGAGATAGTGCCTCCACCTTTAAGAACTATTTCTGGCAGGTATGCTGCAGAGCACTGAAATCAGTCAGGTCATTAGCTTGTGATTCATAGTGCAACTGGGAAAGTTGGTGCCAGTCCCAGATTTACTGGGACAGGGGAAAAGAAATGTGATCCAAGTTAAGAGTTGGGTTCTTGTTACTGTTAATAGAGGAAAAGATGTGAAATAGGATTGAGCAACATGCAAATAAACAAATCAAGGCCTGTCATTCCAAGTGGTGACCCAGTTAATGTAAGCAAGCCAGAACTCCACAGACTTGGTTACAAGTCTTCCCTTAATGTGCTACATCTCAGCTACCATCACCCTACATGATAGTGCTTCAGGAGTTCCTGCTGGCAGTGTACTGCAGGTGAGCCCAACCACTCCAGATAAACACATTTCATCATTGAGGCAGGGGGAAGTGAAGATAGATACACATACCCCTGTTTTCCATAAGGAAGATTTGCAAGCCCCAGGAAGTCCAACTACTGCGTAAAGATTGCTGACAATGCAAGCTGAACACAAAGTGGCAGGACAGGAGAAAGCCTGTGTGCCGTTATTCTACAGAGCTGGCAGTGCTGGCAGTAGCAGCTACAGAGCTCCAGACTTGCACCCTACCTTTTTCTTACAGATTCTGACAAATTGTAGGTTCCAGAAGGGACCTGCAGCAGCAGCTGACCAGGGCTACCAAGCCGTGATGCATTCATGCTCTCTGGACTGCCAGTAACAGGACCACGGACTTTACTCTTGAAGAAAACACAGAATATTCAGATTGCTATTATTGCCATTCATTTTCAAGCAACCAGGAGAATGAGACAACCTGAAACTTGTCTTTAATGCTAATTCAAAATAGCAAAGCTAAGAACCACAGAGCATACTTAACTTGATGTTATTTCAGCAGGCTGTGCTACAAACAGTATTTTCAGGTTAAAGTGGAGCTTTACTTACACAAGCAATTTTCAGCAAATTCCACAGTTCTTTCTGTCGCTTCTCCTGAAGCCTAACAACTGTTTCCTCATCTTCACTCATCAGATTCATCACCTTCTCCACTCTGGGGAACAATTCCAATGCCTTCTGCTTGCAAACTACAGTTTTACTATTAAAGAAGTACAAAGTAGTAAGATCACACACAGGTCACTGCAGTAGAGGAACACTTCTGAAGTTCCTCATTGCCTGTAACACTGCAAGATCATATTAGCTGTATGCATTGGGTTTCAAACCTTCTCTTGCTGAAAGAGAAAATGCTTTCTCTGAACCCTCAACAAAATCTACAAAGCTCACCTGAGCTGAGCATAAATCACTCGAACTTTTTTTTCAAAGGTCTGGATTGCCTGCAGGAGCAGTCGCACTATTTCCTGGCTGTCACCACTTGTTCTCTGATCTGGAATGACAGTCAGAGTATTACACACAAAGGTAAGGCTTGTAGGACAGAGTAAGAAGACTCTTAGTGGCTTGTTTCCACTGCTGCTTCAAATCGTGAAACATCCCAGGTTCAGGGCATGCAAGTTTGAGTGGGATAAAGTGCGACAGATTTTAGCCACCTTTTTCAGCATTTTGAGAACGGGAAAGCAGAGCTGGGATTGTATAGCTGCTCAGAGGAGCAGCCATGTCTTTCATTCTTCCTACACTGAAGCAGCAGCCTGCTCTGAGAAGAGCTCCAAGACCTCAGAAAGTACCAAGAAACCAAGGCTGGCCTAGTTTAAAACTGACTCCCTACTCCCAAAAATGGCATGTCCAGTAGAGACCATGTGCGGCTAGTGTATGAGCAGGCCTAGAATGCAGAGAAAGTTCTCAGTGCTCACTACCACATCTCCAAAGTTACTATCCACACAAAGCAAGGGGACTGTGAGCTAAAATGCCTTTTACCTCTTGGCTTCTCTCTCAGTCTCCGGTACAGCTCTCTGGCTTGTTCTTCTCTAGAAGACAGAGAAAACAAAGGACTTCTCAAGAACTAAAATTAAGAACAAATAGTTTGAGAATTTCAAATCTTTTTTGTCCCAGTCTGCCATTTCAGCCTGAAGACAGATGAGTCAAACACTGTCTTTAGTATTAAAATCGTCCCAGTTCCCCATAATTTGGGCTGAAGAATTAACCCTTTCATTGTCCTGTACTGAGTAAGCTTAGCTAGACATACTCCTGCATTTGAAGTCCAAGGTAGTTCAACTCACAAATCCTCCAGTGTTCCTCCTTGTTTACGCCCTAAGGGGCTTCTCTGCAGGTCCACAATATCTGTCTGCAGGGCCATCATCCTCTTCACTAGCTCATCTACATCATCCTCCTAAAAGCAGGACAGAATGTAAGCAAAAGGACAGTCTGAGAGTCACTACACATTCCTCACCCACATTTCCAAACCCATCAGTAGGATATAAACAGCAGCCGTGGCCAAAGACAAATGAGAATGAGTAATAGCAGTTCAAAGAATTTAGCTTGGTGCTCTGCGATGACAACTTCAAGAATTTTTTGGTAAAAACTCTGACCTGTGACAAAGAGCTATTGAAGGGTAAGACTGTAGTAAATGTACTGCTAGTTCCCAGGCCATCATTCTTCCTTTTCCTTGGCTATTCCAGGCCTCTTACCCAAGCTATCACTGCTTTTCCACTTTTCCCTCAACAACCAACCACATCCACTCTTGGCACCCCAAATTCACACAGAACATGCATCAAGAATGGGAAGCTCTTGCCTTTTCAAAACTCAAGACTTAAAATTTTTGTGTTCAATGATCTAATATCCCATTCAGTTTAACCTATGATCCACATTCTCTTTTCACCTACCCAGGATTGGGTTAGCAGGACACTTGAGTGCAACCACTACAAAAATCTCCTCTTGCATTCTCCCTTTTTGTCCTAAGCCTTACACACAGAATGAGCTTCATAAAGTACTAGTAATGAACAAGAATGGTACTACCCAAAGTAAGGCAACATGAAATCTGCAATCAGTCCAGACACAAGGAGGTACAACGAAGGAAAAAAGGGTGGGGGAAAAAAAAGATACTAAAACCAAGCATCTTTGTCCTTAGGATAAGCAGTTAGATTTAGGAACATACCCGCCCACAGAGCTCCACAGCTTGTTCCATCTCTTTCCAGGCAAACAGCAGCTTCTCAGAAGCTATTGGAATGAAACAAAAGAGAGTGCTTTTCTCAGGTTCCTAGAGGAAGAGGTAGATATTTTGTGGGGATAAGAGGCATAAAAGGACCTGTTTGCCAGATGCTATACTCACTAATTCCAAATTCAATCTGCTCTTTATACTTTTCCAGATCAATCTGGATGCTTGTCTTAAAGAAATCCAGTTTTGCTTTCAGCTGCTGAGAAAGGGAGGCCATAGAATTCTTCATCTTTGAGAGGGTGCTATTGTATCGCAAGAGATTCATCCTGCATGGACAAGAAGGTCCTATTAGCCTCCCAAACTAAAAACGCGGACTTCTACTTACACCCAGAGTAGATACTTCAGAGTGCAGCAGTGAGTACAAACACAGTTGTGCCAGATGACTAACTCTCAGCTTTTCATTAATCGTTTACAGCTCCACTCATGGTCTTCCCCATTCCAACAGGGTCCCATTTCTGTCCTTCCCTTTCACCAGAGCACAGAGCTAAATATTCTAGAGAATCTGCTGCCGTACATGGCTGCTCGCTGCCCCTGCTGGAGCCGGTTACAGTCCTCTTTCAGCATCCGGATCGTGTGCCAGATCTGACCCCACACTTTACGCAGCTGGAAAAAGTGGAGATTCTT